GATAATTTATCACCAGGTTATTAATGGAGCCGAAACCGATTATTATTCACTGTTTATCCTATTTGATTGATTTTACAGTTTTTAATGCATGATAATATGCTGGAGTTGGTAAGATGATTTAGTTGTTTTTTCTTGATGCATGTATTGTTTGTTTTGCGTGGTTTACAGTTAAATTGTGAAACCAAAAATTAAATATAAACGAAAAATTATTTGATTAAGTGAGTGAATGAATGGTGACCTTACTGGATATCTTGAAAGATAGTGGATAGACCGAGTACATAGAGAACCCCACCATAAATGTTACCTTATACCGGATGGGGTATGGAGGATTGGTACTTTGGCACTCATATCGGACGGGGTATGGGGATAGTCCGTTTCACCCTCCTACCGGACGAGGTATTGATGGATGGTATTTTCGGCGCTCATACCAAACGGGGTATGGGGACGGCCGGTTAATTGAAAATGTTGAATTATGTTTCATGTATAGTGAAAACATCTCTATGAACCCCCATGGATACCGGTAGGCAGGTAAAAAGAAAAAGTTGTTGTTTTTGGTTAATTGTATATGAGATTGTTTGTGCCATTGCCTCTCTAAGTCAGTTTTTGAAAATTTCGCTACGGTAAGTGTACAATAAATGATTTTACTTATGATAAATGAATTTACTTAAAATAAGAGTTCCATTAGTTATTTTTATGATTTCTACCAACATTCATTTCTGTGTCGGTGAGTAGCGTGATATTCTTACTTGGGTAGTGTAGTTCACTCTTTCATTAACCATTTCAGATCAAGAGAACCAAGATCCAGAGCCCGATCCATAAGAGGATTATGAGTAGGACGTTCAATTTGTTCATTTTTTATTTATTTCTTTGATTATTAGTTGTTGTTTTATAAGGATTATTCCCATGGCCCTATTGGGTATCCGGAATTATTGTGTAAGGAATGTAAACCCTAATTTATTATTTTGCTTATGCATTCAATTCATAATTTATTTCATTTCAAGTTCACGAACTGTTACATGTAAAATTAGAAATTAATATGCAAATGAAAAATTGATTGGTCATGTGAATTAATGAATGATAGTCTTATTAGAATTCTGAGAGATGGTGGACAGACCGAGTACATAGAGAACCCTACCGTGAACGTTGTCTCATACCAACTGGAGTATCGAGAAATGGTATTTCTGGTACTCATACCAGAAGGGGTATGAGGACGACCTGATTTACCTTCATATCGGACGGGGTATTGAGAGATAGTATTTTTGGCACTAATATCGGACGAGATATGGGGATGGCCGGTTAGTTGACAATGTTGAATATTGGTTCATGCATAGTGGGACCTCCAAAGATACCAGTAGACAAATAAAAAGGAAAAATTGTTGTTTTTGCTCACTTGAATATGTGATTAGAATATCGTTTGAGTTATTATTTTTATAAGTCGATTTTAGAAATCTCACAATGGTAAATATATGCAATAAATAGTTTTCCTTGCGATAAATGAATTTACTTAAATCTAGAGCTCAATTGGTTGTTTTTATAATTTTTACCAACTTTCAGTTTCTGTATCGGTGAGTAGTGTGATATTATTACTGGGTTAGTGTAGCTCACTATTTTATTAACTATTTCAAATCAAGACAATCAAGATCTTATCCCGATTAATAAGAGGGTTGTGAATAGTTCACCATCCAAACTCCCTTCAAAAGCTAGTAAAGATCGTCATAGAATGCTCAGTATATTGTCTTTTGTTTATTTTTTTAATTTTTATTTATTCTTTTAGAAAATACATTCCCGTAACCCTATTAAGCATTCTAAATTATTGTGTAAAGAATATAAATCCTAAATTCTATTATTTCGATTCCGTAATTAATTTATGACTTTATTTTCTTTTAAGTTCCGAATCTTTACAAACTCAGTCAGTATCCAGAGCTGTAACGATCGAGATTTTAAAAGAGTGAATTTTAAAGATATTTATATAAATTGTTGTCCTTCTTAAACACATTACATGAAATTATATAAAAAAATATAAATATATATGGTTAATAATAGGACAATATACTATAAATAAATAAATAATTAGTTAATTAGGGGAAGTAACTTGTACAGGTTAAATTAAGAATACTTGAGAAAAGTAGGAAAACAAAATTGTAAATTTAAAAGATCAAGATGAAAAAGGAACCTGCAGGTTGGGGTAAGATCACAAATTTCACAAATATTGACATCTCAGCAGCTGAGACGTCCTGAGGGGCTAACCAGGGGAGGACATGCGGCAAACCATATAAATATCTTGTTGGATGCATTTGATCGTGCCACGCGTACATCGCGTGGCAGATCGAATGGTAGAGAAGGAATACGTAGATCTGAACGGCTCGGATCGTCCCATTTCAATCAACGGCCACGATTAACTCGTGGCCACTAGCAAAGGAGGTCGGATTTCAAAAAAAAAAAAAAAGAGGGAAGAAAAAAAAAAAGAGGGAACCATAGCTGCAAAGTGAAAGAGACAGAAGAAGAGAGAGGGGAAGTGTAGCTGAGAGGCTAAAGCAGAGGGTGCATTGCAAGAGGCTCCATCCGTATAGGACCACTGAGCGCAGGGAGAAAGTAAGATCAATTTACTCTTAAAACCCGAATCTGAAATGAATGTTGATAAATTTTCCTATATCGCAAATTTCCAAGTTATTACGAGCCTCTTCATGTCTGTTTCGTATGATTTTGATGTAATGGTAGAATAACTCCGATGTAGTAATATAGTCATGAAGTTAAAGGAAATGGTGGATGAGATGTAGAGATCCTCGATCTGGTAGGGGAACGAAGGAATTCGGGCGTCAAGGACGGGGATAACAGAAGTAAATCCGTGTCGAGGTGAGACACATTTAGATGTGGAGTAAATCTGGAAGTAAGGAGTAAACCTGAGTTGAAATTATGCAAATCAGTGAGAAACAAGATAGGAGACCTCACCGGGAAATTAGGAGATTTAGTGAAATACACGGGGAAATGGTTGAGGCGAATAAGGATTTACACAGTAGTAGAGATGAACAGAGAGCAGAATAGAACAGGTAGTTACGGTGAGGATCGGGAAATAGAGAAGAGGAGGATAAACAAAAACAAAAAATTATGATAAATGCTAGCATGTACAGAGCATTACAGAGCGGGAGAAGGGTGAGAGAAATAAGCAAATATGGACATGAAGGCTGAAAATAACATACTATAAAAATAATACGTATTGGCATACTGGTGGTGTAAATGAGCTCAATGGGCCCATTCTTGAGGACGTGGAACCGTTTCTGGTATTAGATCAGCTGTGAGTACATAATAGTGCTCTGAATTCTTGTGGTGTAATTGGTTGCTTGTGCATGTGTGTGTGGAGCGTAGAAAAAAATGTTGCATATAATTTTGTAGATTGTATGTGTGCTGCATTTTGTTTATGAGTATGGGTAGGTGGAACCGAATGATGGGGTTCCGAATGGAATAAAATGTGTATGGATATATAAATATATATATATATATATATATGTGAGGTGAATGATATGTGATAAAAGAAAATGGGTGAGAGGAGCTGGCCGGGAAGAGTGTAATCGGAAAGGGAAGGAAGAGTCAGCTAAAATGGAAAGGGAGAGATACAAACCTGACGGGTTCACCTGAGTTAGCAGGGGAAGAGGAGTGGACAGAAAAGCTAAAAAAAAGGGTGGAACTGAGAGAGAGAGAGAGCAGATGCACTGGGACTGTAGAGAGGATCCAGAAAGAGAAAAAAAAAGGTGATGATGAGGGAACTGTGAGAGAGGAGAGTGGCAGTAAAATGCTTACCCGAGGAACATGTGGTTGGAAACAGAGGAGAAATAGAGAGAGGCAACCAGATAGGGAACTATATTTTGAGGGGAGAGGGGAATAGAAATGTTACAAGAGAGAAAAGCGAAACAGAAAATTTCTGAGAGATTTTGGGAGCCAAGAGTTGCTGTGTGAACCGGTATACAGGATAAAATGAGAGGTTGAATGCAGGAAAAATTTTCAGGCGGTGAGAAAGAAAAGAGAATCTAATAGAAAAATTGATAGAGAGTAGGCAGAGCAAAATGGACTTAAGAAATATTTTTATTGCCTACATATGTTTGCAGCTTACACAATATATATAGCCATCAGCAATGGCACTATAACAGAAGAAACAAAAATAAAACAGAATGCAGGGCACAGGGGCACCATAACAGAAGAAAACAAAAATGCGGGAAAACATACAGAGGCAGGAAAACATAATGCAGGAAAACGTACCAGTGCTGGTACGTGGGCAGCGGACAAAAGAAAAAAGGAATAAAAAACGGTTACAATTTAAATATATTAATTTTTTTTAATACTCCCCCTCAAGATGGAAGGTACAGATTTATTGTGCCCATCTTACTCAGTAAATTGGCGAATTGTGCAGGATGAAGGGCCTTTATCATTAAATCTGCCAGTTGATTTCGAGTGGATATGTGCATCGTCTTCATGGTACCATCTTGAATCTTCTCACGAACAAAATAACAATCAAGTTCAATGTGTTTTGTTCTTTCATGATACATTGGATTTGAAGCAATATGTAGAGCAGCTTGATTATCACAGTAAAGTAATGCAGGGCCTTGGTGTTGAACTTTTAAGTCACGCAACAGCTTCAGAGTCCAAACAATTTCGCAAGTAGTGTTGGCCATGGAGCGATATTCGGCTTCCGCAGATGACCGAGAAACGACTTGTTGTTTCTTTAATTTCCATGAGACTAATGAAGACCCAAGGAAAACACAAAAACCAGTGAGGGATCTTCTAGTATCCGGACATGTCCCCCAATCAGCATCAGAAAAGGCCTTAATCTGAATGGCAGATGATGAAGGAAAGAAAAGACCTTGTCCAGGGGTTCTCTTGATGTACTGGAGAATCCGTAAGGCGGCTTGGAGGTGACTGGTTCTAGGAGTAGCCAGAAATTGACTCAATCTATTGACAGAGTAGCATATGTCAGGGCGAGAGATGGTTAAATACAACAGTTTTCCAATTAGTCGTCGATAGCTGGTGATATCACTCAGGAGCTCGCCATCATCTTTAAACATTTTGATATTAGGATCCATAGGAATAGATGAGGGTTTACAACCAAGATATCCAGTCTCAGTTAAGAGATCCAATGCATATTTCCTTTGGCACAAAGTGATTCCTGTGTCATTTCTTGCAATTTCAAGTCCAAGAAAATATCGGAAAGTTCCCAAATCTTTCATTTTAAGTTTTTGTTTGAGTGTACCTTTGAGTTCTTCGACAGCTTGATCGTCATTACTGGCAATAACAATGTCATCGACATAAACCAACAATGCTAAAAAGGTTTCACCTTGTTGTCTGACAAATAGAGAATAGTCACATTGTGACTGATAGAAGCCTTCTTGAAGTAATGTTCGTGAAAACTTATGAAACCACTGTCGGGAAGCTTGTTTCAACCCATAGATTGACTTGTGGAGGTGGCAAACAGGTTGATGTGGAAAAGTCTCCCCCTCTCGAGGAGAATAGCCTGGAAGAATAGTCATATAAACTTTTTCGTGAAGGTCACCATGTAGAAAGGCGTTGGTGACGTCCAATTGAGTCAGGTGCCAACCATGGATACCAGCAAGTGAAAGCAAAATATTGACAGTAACCAATTTAGCAACAGGAGAAAAGTGTCAAGAAAATCGATGCCAAATTGTTGTGTGTAGCCCTTAGCAACCAGACGAGCTTTGTATCTTTCTATGGTCCCATCAGCTTGATATTTAATTTTGTAAACCCACTTGCAGTCAATAGGTTTCTTCCCAGGAGGGAGGGAAACAATGGACCAAGTGTTATTATTGTCCTCTAAGGCACGCAACTCCACATTCATAGCATTCATCTAAACATCGGATTGGTTAGCTTCATGAAAGTTGGTAGGCTCAGTGTGGGAGGAAATGGCGCAAATAAAGTTGTGATATTGGGAGGTAAGTTTGGTATGAGTAAGGAACGAAGAAATAGGATAGAGTGCACGGGTATCTGTATGGTAGCAGTGATAGTCAGACAAATAAGAGGGTGGTCGTGTTGTACGTAGTGGGCGAGATGAGCGTGTTTGGGAGGATTCACGTTGTGAGCAAATAGTTGTATCAAGACAATCTGAGGATTGTGTAGATATATGGACAGAAACCGGTAAAACATGATCGTGAAAGAAATCATTGTGAATGGGATCAGGTAATTGAGAGGAAAGAAATGGGAAGATATGTTCATGAAAAATGACGTTACGTGAGATAAAAATTTGGTTGCTCTCGATGTCGAGAAGTTTATATCCTTTGTAACCCGAAGGATAACCGAGAAAAATACAAGCCCTGGAACGAGGTGAAAATTTGTGGCGATGACTATCAAGAGTTGAGTAGTAACATAGACAACCAAAGGTACGCAAGTGATCATAGGAAGGTTTTTTTTTTTGAGTTAACAGTTCGAATGGAGTTTTATTTGATAACAAGGGGGACGGTGTACGGTTAATTAGGTAAACAGCGGTCAAAATGCAATTGTCCCAATACACAAGGGGAATATGGGATTGAAACAGCAAAGCACGAACTACATTTAAAATGTGTTGATGTTTACGTTCAACGACAGAGTTTTGTTGGGGAGTCTCAACACAAGAATGGTAAGAAACAATGCCCTTCGATTTGAAAAAAGAATGAAAATTCAGCTCGTGCGCATTGTCAGATCGCATAGATTTAATAAAAATATTATATTGTGTAAGTATAAGAGTATAAAATTCAGGGAGAATAGTAAGAACGTCGGATTTTTTACGAAGGAGATACACCCAAGTAGTTCTAGTGCAATCGTCAACTATTGTGAGAAAATATTTGTATCCTTCGACAGTGGGTGGAGAGAAGGGTCCCCAAATGTCAATGTAGATTAGATCAAATGGATTATCAGATAATCTATTGTTAGAAGCGAAAGATAATTTACGTTGTTTAGTTAAATGACAAATCTTACAATGAGAAATATTCGAAGTTTGTAAGGAGTCATTAATATACTGAAGTTTTACATTGGAAGGATGACCCAATCTAAAGTGCCATAGGCTACTTTTAGAGTGAGTGGAAACATGATGAACAGTAGGAAAAGGAAAACATCTGGTAGTTAAGTAGTAGAGGTTGCCAATGCGTCTACCATTCCCAATCAACAAGTCCCGAGTGCGGTCCTGAATGACACAAGAATGAAGAGAAAAATCAATTGTGCAGTTGTGGGTGGTGGTCAACATGCTGACACTGACAAGGTTAAAAGAAAAATGAGGAACAAAGAGAACATCATGTAGAGTTAAGGTGTCGGTGAGTGGTGTACTTCCAACTTGATTGATTATCACTGAACTACCATTTGGTAAAGTGACTGGAATGGGATGCACAGTTCTAAGGTTTGTGAAAAATGTGGGTGTACAACAAATATGATGTGTGGCTCCAGAGTCAATGATCTAGTATTTAGAGGTAAGTGTGTGTGTGAAGTTGGAAAGACAAAAGGGTGTGTAGGATATACCTGCCGCGTGAGGGTCAAGGGTGGTATGACTTGTGGAGAGAGATAGAGTGTCAGGCATGATGGCGGTGTTGGGTTGGTGG